TTACTTTCTTTTTTCGATTGAGAAGAAGCGGAAAGAGAATGGCCAGCGCATGTGGCCAAGGTCAAGCGCTGTGGGTAGCACGCTCTGGAAATTGCAAAAGGCCATTGTCTCTTTCCTGGCCGTCGGCGTTGATGTTTTCACAAGGGGGTGGTACATGCTTGAGCATGACTGTTCAACAGTCCCTCCATCAAGGCGTGGCAGTGGTGGGTCATCTCAGGAATTGCAATCTGCAAAAAAAGTCAGGATGACTCCGGATGCCATTTATGAGCTGCTGGAGTCTGCCAGGAAGCGCACTGTCAATGTGCGCGCGGGTTTAGGCCTGTTGGAGCGAACCCGACTTTCAACTGTGGCAGGGTGCAAAGCAAATGCAGTGGACGCATGGGTCCGAAGAAGTCAAAGTATATATGACCATCGAGCTGCGTTGGCGTTCCAAGGTGTCATGCATTTTAACCTTGCTGCAGACGCTTCGACGCATGCAGGCAAGGAGTTGTTGGTGTCAATTCTTTGGTCTCATCAATGCAACTCTGCCGCATTTGCCAATAATCAAGTGATATTGCCTCTTGCGCAGATAGCGCCTGGGGAACTTGAACTCACATCGCTTGTGGAGCATCTAGCCCAGGACTGTCAAATAAAGTCTGTCTCGACGTCTTTCTTTGGAATTGAAATGGTTCACAAGTAGGATCGGGAGGGAACACAACTGTACATGTGGACACTCTCCGCTGGGGGTGTCTTTGGTTTGATTGCTCAGGAGAACAAGTTGGTCCGGGTTGCAAGTTATCGTCAACTCCAGGCTATGAGCCATCAGCTTTCGCTCCTCACCAACGGCAGAATTGCAAACCTTGACTCATTTCGCGAGCCTCCTGGTGTAGTCCTCTCAAGACCTCAACCAGGCCAACAACGCTTTACGCGCCGAGAAGATGGCAGAGTCAGGGCTGGATATCTTCACGAGGACGGTGAAGAAGTGATGTTGTTGCCAGAGAGCAGAACCTGGTGGCTTGATGCTAACCTTTTGGTTCTACAATTGGATCAAGGTCCTACTTGCTGCGGAGGACTAGCGTTGCTTGGCAGAAATCAGTGTTCTTATCTGTGGAAGTCTGTCTGTCATGTGTGATTTGACGTCTTCTCAGCTCAACTTGAATGCAGTGCTTGTGTTTTGGCGAGAGATGGTAAGAGCGTTGTTTTGTTTGTAGGTCTGCTTCTGTGTGGCCAAGGTTTGCTGTGCGCCGGCTTGAAAGACTGATACAGTGCCGTTGGGACACATTCCATCGCCTCATCAGAGATATCAAGCTCAGCTGTCTGCACGGCGCCAATGGTGAATATTATCAGGCGCAAATGTATAGCCAATACCTCTTTAGCGTCAGCTACAGACCATATGGATCCGGAGCGTTTCAGGAGGAGAAGAAACGTGCGTTGGAAATCATGATGGCCCGTGAAACTCCTGAATCTGTGCCTGCCTTCATGGAGAATTGGGAGGCCATCAAAAAAGAATTGTTGCTTCCGTCTTGGTACACACACCGTGATGTTTGGAATTGTCTGCCAGGTTTGCAAGCCTTCCAGTGTAAGCAAACAATGCCCAAACAGGGCAGATGGTTCTCGTGGAACCAGGCCGCCCACGAGCAGCTGAAAGAATGGACAGCTTTGAAAACAGTCCTTGCATACTTATTTGACGCAGACCCAAGTGTGGATCCCGACTTGGCATACACCAAGCGAAAACTTGAGGCCATGACAAAGACTAAGACTGGTGACCAAGACGAAGACAAGACTAATGTGAGAAAAGAATTTGGGCGCCTGAAAGAGAAACTGGGAGGTGGCTTAAAGCTGTGCTGGCATTTGATGTCCAAAAAGCTGCATCAAATGGTGATTGTGGTTTTGCTGTGCGCGAGACCACTGTGGTGTTGGTACACCTCAACTGTAAAAAATATCAAGAGCCCGGAAGATCATATTCCCCGTATCATTGAGCTCATGCAACATTGGAACAAGGACAGTTGCCTGGGTTTGCTGAGTGATGTTTCCCCTGTGTTGAGTGAGCGCCCTTTTGTACCAGATGCTGTGTCTAAGTCTTGGGTGATTTTTTTCCTGGAGCCTATTTGCGCCAATCCAAGGTCAATTGAGGGAACTTGCTGGAATTGCAACATCAGAGAAAGGTGAGCTTGTAGATCTCCTCGCCTCTTCAGAATTTGCAGATACTGGCGAGAAAGTCGCAGAGTTGAGCCAGCATTTGTTGAAACATCGGGCTTGGTCTCTTTCAAAAAGTTCCGCGCCTCCTGACTGCTATTCTGGCTTGCTATCGCAAGATGGCCGATTGCAACAGGCCATGTGATGAAGAATGTTCAATAGTGTTGTCATTGTTCTGTGTATGTGTGGGGGAGTGACATGTAGTGATAACAAACTTCGTTAACGTTTTAAGGAGCACCTTCTTCACTGAATCATGATCTCAGTCAAAACTCACCATTCTCAGGAGTCTGTGTTTTTGATGTCTTCAGACCATCAGATTCTGGTGAGTCTTGAGCAAGCTGCAGCTGATGCACGGGCTTGTCCTAACATCTTGGAGGATCTGCGGACGGTGTTGACTCCAGCGATTCGGATGCTTCATCTCGCGTGTGAAGAAGATGGGTGGAATCGTAGGTCTCCAAGTACCCAACATCTATTGCTTGGGTTGCTGAAGACATTGCCTGATTCCAAAATAATCGAGGACATTCATGGCGTTTTGCGGAACAATTCCAAGAGCGGCCAAAACCGACAACAAACACTTCATCAGCTGCAGGAAATAGTTACAAACTCTACAGTGATTGACTCCAGGGGTATTGGGCACAAGGCCCATGTGGACCGTGCCACTTTTTTGCAAGCTTTTCCACGAACGCGGGATAGAAAGCGGAAAAGGCCAGGAGTTCTCCAGAGTCGGGAATACAACTACATGGTGTTTCTAATTTGTTGATCTGTTGAATGTTTTCAATTGTTATTTTTGCTTTTCTGTGCAACTGGGCAGGCGGTATTTTGCAAGAGTTCACAAGCTACTTGCAGAGCGGTCAAATGTGATGTCCAGGAAGAATTGGGCGGCTTTGAGTGAAGAGGCCATTCACAAAGGTATTGCAGCGCTGAACTTTTTGCGGCGCTATTCTATGTTCAACCTTGCGCAAGAAGGGGTTCGGATTCAATCTGGACAGTTGAGCAAATTTGCCATGGAACTTACCCTCATGTGTAACAGAGATGAATTTGATGAGGTTCGATACATTGGCTTCAGTCTTGGTTCTGCAGACTGGGCAGTGCTTTTTTGGCCTCTTCAACGCTTCTCTGCTGGCTCGGGCAAAGACCTCTTTTACTTAGACCCAGCAGGTACAGCCGAGTGGAAGTTCTTGCTCAGTCCTCAACGGTGGCAGGTTGTGGATCATGAGGTGGTGGTTGAAAGTGGCAAGATCTTCATGGCACCAACTACTTCGCAGCCGCTTTTGAAAGCATTTTTTGGAAACATGCAATGTAAAAAGTCAGTGACAATACCAGACATGGCTTTGCTTGCTGAAGTGTTGACCTTGCCGGAAGAGCTCTTCAATGTCAAGCGTATGCGACGCGAAGAGCCGTTGCACGCTCTTGTAGACAAAATTGGGGCCAACCATGAGCCGTGGGTCAAAAAAACAAAGGAACTCACGCAGACTCCCATAAAAAGGAAAAACATCGGTGATGTGCTTGACGAGCTGGTTCTTTCAGAAATGCCATTGGAGGAGCAGCGTGAGTTTAGAGAAGTAGCAGAGGAGATCCAGTCCAAGAAACAAACCGGCTGGTCGATTGTAGAACAAAAGTGGCGCGACAGTAACAAGAAACGGCGGCCAAAAGCAAAGGCCAAAAGCAAAGCAAAAGCTAAAGCAAAAGCAAAGCCCAAAGCAAAGTCTCATATGTGGGGGGCTCGAAAGCGGAGGCGTACTTCAAATGTTGATGTTGTTCCACCAATTGAAGATGCACCTTCGTCCGCTGCTCCAGTTGTTGAACCTGAGCGCTCAGCGGCTTCTGTGCAGCCAATGCAACCTGCCCCAGTTCCAGCTCCAGCAGTGATGGACACTGAAGCCGCTGCTTCACTTGCGCCTGTTGAAGCAGCCCCAGAAGTAAACGATGCAGGTGCTGTGAGTGGACCAGATGCAGAAATTGAAGTGGCAGCTCCGGTTGTGGAGCCCAGAGTTCCGGAAGTAGTTGCTCCAGCTGTGGCAGAACCCAGTGCAGCCCCTGAAGCTCTTGCGCCCGACGCAGCTGAAGTAGCTGTGCTCGATGGTGCCCCTCAACCTCCAGCTGCGGGAGCAGCCCCAGGTGATGCTCGGCCTGACCCTGCACCTCGTGGGCCAAGAGCCGCTGGCCGTGGATTTATCAACGCGTGGACAGATGTGCAGTGCTCGAGTTGCTCCAGTGTTGCAGGCCAGATTAAGTTGGATCCCTTTCCGGGATCTCGGGATGCACCTACATGGTTCATGCGTATCAAGCAAGCCGATGGCTCATGGGCAAGTAAGTTTCCAGGCTTTAAGAGGAGGACCACGCATGTGATCGGAGAGAGTGAGGACTTCCCGGTGAGGTGGGTCCAGGAGAACCGGACCTGCTGCCCCCCCCCTTGATTCAGACGGAGACTTTGACGAAGACTTAGACATTGACCCTAGACTAGACTGAAGGCCCTGTCATTGTTCACCCTGGATTTTCGCGATTTGCTTTGAAATATAAAGCGTGATCAAACCATTTTGCGTTGAACTGATCTGGGATTTGAGTCTGACATTCTAGTCTATAACTATAGGTCAGACAGAAGCTGCACTCCCGACATGAGCCTGAATCTTTTCTTGCCCAAGTCAAAATTTAAATAAGTTAAGTCTAAGTCATGTTGTCTAAGTCCGTACACTTCTTGACTGGCTGTTGTGAGTGGTTTGGCTCTGACTGACTGACTGAGGTTGTCCTGGTTCATCGTCAGTGAGCTTGGGGCAAGTTTGATTTGCAAAGCGCGGTGCGTCAGACAACCAAACATCACGCCGCTTTGTTCTTGCTATTGTTTGGCAAACCCTGCCTGACGGCATCACCTCTGTCATTGGAAATCCTAATTTTAGGGGAACTTCACTAGTATTCAGCGGGTATGCAAACAGTCTAATGTTTGCTGTTGTGAAGTTTGACACATTTCAATTATACAATGTTTGTTGTTGAGTACTTTGATTCAAGCAGAACTGTATTTGCATTGATGGCTGATGGCTCCTCTCTATGTACTGGTCTCGTTGTCGTCATTCCTTTTGGCAAAGCTGATGGGTGAGGAAAGAAAAAGAATGGAACGCGTGTGTGGCGGATCAAAGTGTACCCTTCCTTATTGGTATTCAATGGGCTGTTAAGTAAACCTGACATATGTATAGAGTCTATAGAGGTTGATGGAAATCTGCAGTCGTTGATTGTAACACTGAAAACATGTTTGCAATGAATTGTTCCTCGGTAGAAAAATCAATCATATTAACCTATGTAACCATGCAAAATCTATCTAAAAACTGTCTTCTTCTGTCTCGAAACAGGTTGTTTTGAGACAAGTGACTTTTTCCAAAGGTAGCCTGGGCAAACCCTCTGATCTGGTCATCGCTTTTGTTTTGCTGAACTTTTGTCACTGACGCAGTTGCGAGTGTTGTTAGCCTCGCGCTACAACAAGGCACTAGCGCCCTCCTTTTTTTGCATACCTTCCGTGAACCTGGGTGCGCACTTTGGAGAATAGCTCAAAGTGCCTTAGCTAAGGCAGGCATACTCCAAGGACATCCCATTGTCAATCAGTGCCATGCTGTTCTTGAACAACTGCCTCTTGTAGTCATTGAAGGGGGATTCTATTCGGCGCCAGTAATTCGTCACGTTGAGGTAGCGCAAGGGCTACGCAAGATTGGCGCGGCCGCATGGCAAAGTTGCCACCAACTGCAAATCGTCAAGTTGCCACCCTCGGTAGTCTGTCTCAAAGATGGGGCTTTCCAGGGATGTTATGCCCTCACTCAAGCACCGCTGAATGTTGTTCATTAGGCACGGTAGGGGTTTGTGATGATGCCACAAACGCACTGGCCCCAGGGGCTCAGATCTCGTCCTATGCCTTTGAAAGTTGTTTGGCATTGACAACAATGGAATTTGTGATGTCCAATGATGCCTATACACGGGCCCTCCCTGTAGGAAGCTTCTGTGGATCGGGCATTGAGAGCTTGCGGCTCCCTCCTGGCCTGCGAGAACTGCAAGCACCTCGTCCAAGTAGACCTCATCTGCGCGCGCATCGGGCCATATGGGGGTCCACATTCTCGTATTGCGTGAATCTGGTAGATATTTGGCTCCCGCCAAAGCTCAGACGCATTGGCAAGGAAGTCTTCTGTGGCTCGCTCCGAGAAGTCAAAATCCCGCCGATACTTCACTATTTTGCTCACAGAGCTTTTTGCGGTTGTGAGCAACTCACGCAGTTCATCAAGTTGGATGACACTGCCACATGGAGGGGGCTCTATGCGGAGAATAACGCTTTCACGCTGTGTGACAAGTTCACGCGTCCATCGTGGATAAAGCTACTCCCCCAGGGAGACGTCGATTCGGATGCCTTTGATGAAGAACTGCGTAAAGGGCTGCGCTAGAAGGACAACAAAAACACATAGGAGTAACCTGGTCCTCGGTGAGGGCCTTGGTTCTCGTCTTGAATAGGGCTGCTGTCAGGCCAAACTGGCTCAAGCGGATTCTCCCGAGGCGAAATCCATTGCAGACTGGTCTTCCAATGGAGACTACTTGTGCCTCGCGCTTGAGTACCTCGGAAGAGCGCGAAGCAACCATGGACTGCCGACTCCTGCTCACCGCAATGGCAGGCAATGAAGTTGAGTTGTCAATAAACATTGCCCAATTCGACAGATTCGAAGACTTTGAAGAGCGCGTAGTCGATCACCTAGCCACGGTTTCAGAGCTAGATTGCTATCCAGACAGGATAGTGATTGCACATTTGATGCGCTCCCGTAGCAGTTAAGGAGTTTGCTCGAAATGTGCACACCTGCTCCCTCTATTGAGGGAGTCTGGTCAAGCGCCGGATGGCGCACCTGAAAGCAATGACTACCATAGGCAAGCTGCCCGCCATAGGCCACAGCTCTTCCTGCTTTCGCAATTGCTTGGAACGATTGTACCAGGATAAAGCTGTTTTCCAAGGCCTGGCCTACATTGCTCTTCGATCATCGAGCTTCGACCAGTTGCACTCCGAGGGAACTTCTCCGGCACAGCTCACAGTTGGAAGCTGCAAGATAGCTTGAGCACTTGCGCCAGCAAGTGCTTGTAACTTGGCCAGTCCACATACAGGCCGTTCGCGCAATGCCTCTTCGTATGTAAATCGACAGCAGCTTGAATGTGAATTCGTGGCCCAGGCAGCAAGCAGCCGCTGTTCCCCTTCTCACCAAGTTTCATATGATGTACAGAGAGGAAACTCCGCTGTTCTTGCGCATTTTCTTGGTTCTTGGTCTTGTTGTTGTTGTTCGGTGTGCTTGGGGTTTGGTTGGTTTGTTGTTTTTCTTGTTCCTGTTTCTGAACACGCGGAGTTTCAACCATTAGCAAAGATGACCTGTGCACACCGCACGCATGGCGTCTCCACTCGTGCAAAAAACAGAAGGAGCTACCCCACCGCTTGTGCTAACCACTCTTGCAGGAGAAGAGATTCATCTTCCAATCGAGGTTTCGGAAATGATCGGCTTGAAGAGTTTGAGGTGCCCTGGTCAAGGTAACAGTGCCTGCTGGGGAGGCCCTCTGTGGCGAGATCGGTTTTTGCTGGGGTTTTTGGACCGCAAACTGGTGTCCAGAAAAATCACTTTTTTCGATCCCTGGAAGGAGCAAAAAGTTTGGAAAACCTGTGAGGGTTGAGAATTGGGAGAAAGCGTTCGGCCTGTACGATGTTCTTGATCGAAAGCAATCAAGCTTACGGATCAATGGTCAGCTGCTTTTTTCGGCAGTCTGATTGCAGCCTTGCGCGCTGGTGCATGTTTGTTTGCTACAAAGCTTGTGGTCAACACCGCCGTGAGTCGACCTAGCGCCCTGAGACCAAACGTTGTGAACCCATTCTTTGTATTTTGTGGTCTGTCTTAATTTTGGGCGAGAGGAAAGAAGGGTGGGGAGATGTTAAGCGAAGGTTTGGTTTGCGAATGTTCACAGGAGCCATCTCTGGTCGTTCACTATGGCAAGGAAACCTTGTTTCGTTTTATTTGACGTCGTTGTTTGATGCATGTTGTGAAGGATGGGGTTTTGAACAGATATTGTTGAGGTTTTGAGCTCGCGCCCTTGATGTTCTGGGGAGGCCCTCTGTGGCGAGACCGGTTTTTGCTAGGGATTTTGGACCCCAATCTGGTGTCACCCAGGACAAATCCATGCGTGCCTGCTCTTTCACTGCTTTGGTGGCATCAATCGGAGTGCGGGGGTTTTGTGTGTTTGCTTGTTGTAGAGGTCGTGCAGTTGCTGCTTCAAAAAAGACCAGCTTTGCGTCCTTGGCGCAATCGACCCTGTGTCTTGGAAGCGTTATGGCACCTGGAAGGTTTGCGCGCTGAGAGGCAAAGAGACTTCAGCTACGAGGCTAATGCGTGTCGCGGGTCGTCCGTCGAAACTGTTCGGGACGAACCTACGACGTCATCGTCGCCTGGAAGGTTGGCGCGCTGAGTGGCAAAGAGACTCCAGCGCAGCGCGCCGAGGCCAATTTATGTCGCGGGTCGTCCGTCAAAACTGTTCGGGACAAACCTACGACATCATCACTCAAATGACGCGATCAGCGGTTGCCAAAAAGGAGTCATCGTGACGTTAGTATGTGTGTACTTCAACTTCATGGCAAAAGACGTTCTCTTGGAATACATGATTCGCTTGTCATGATCTTGACGTCGTTTGCTCTCATCGCCCTTACGTCCATTTCGTGGAGACTTCAGTGTGACATGTACGTTCTTCAGTTTAATTCGAACCTCTTCAGCGTTGTGCTTGCGCAACCAAGGTTGACGTTGCGCTGCCGTTGCATCTACGCATCTACGTCTACACCCCCTCACCTCTGTACATTTACATCTTCACACGCTCGCATCCGCAGATCTACCTCTCTACCTCCACACACCCACACATCTGCGCATCTATATCACATCTGTACATCCACACTGTCACTCCTTCACATCCGCCCTCTCTTTCTTTCGACATATCTTTTCATTCTCTCACCTCTGTACATTTACATCTTCACACGCTCACATCCGCAGATCTACCTCTCCACCTCCACCCATCTGCACATCTATATCACACCTGCACATCCACACTGTCGCTCCTTCACATCCGCCCTCTCTTTCTCTCTTTCTACATATCTTTTCTCTTAATATTTTCAATCGAATTTCTTTGCAACTTCTTACTCAACAACAGATTGTACAGAGAAGTCATGACTCTTGGACAACTCGATTTTAACTATTTCATGACTCGACAGTGCTGGACAATCACCTGTCTCGCTCTCGGGCCAACCGTCGTCTAGTGTTTTGTATGCCGCAGCTGGTGGGTTGAGGTGGGAGTCATCGGAAATTTTGCTGGCCTCTCCCACCTCTCCCTCGCTGGCCAGCAATCGCAGGGGGAAACTAAGGTAGGAGATAGGAGATAG